CCCCGGGCGGCGGCGGCGGCGCCCCCGGCCGGAGCCGTGGTGCCTTCGCAGGGCGGGCGCGCGTCGGCGTGGAGCGAGGAGGTGAACCGGGCCAACAAGGCGGCGCTCCTGGCCTGGGCGGAGGAGACGGGCACCGTGCTGGTGCAGGTCAACGGCCAGAGGAAGTACGGGGGGCCCCCGCCCGGTAGGTCCCGGGAGCTCGGCCCCGCTCCCCCGCGTGGCGGGCACATGGCGCATGGCCGCTCCTCGCCCTGCAGCCGCCCTCCTCCCCGGGGCGGGAGGGCGCCCGGCCTCTCCGGTGGACGTGCCCCGAGCAGGGCGGTCGCTCGGCGGCTGCGTCGGGCCGGGCCGGGCCGGCCGGGGCGCTGGTGGGAAGGGTGCGCGGCCTGCAGTGCAGTGGGTGACCCGCGCCCGCCGGGCTCTTCCGCAGGCTGGACCGGGGGGGCCCCGCAGTGCGGCACGGAGGTGTTCATAGGCAAGATCCCGCAGGTCATCTACGAGGACCGGCTCATCCCGCTCTTCCGCAGCGCGGGCAAGCTCTACGAGTTCCGCCTCATGATGACCTTCAGCGGGCTGAACCGGGGCTTCGCCTACGCCAAGTACGCCACACGGCACAGCGCCCAGCAGGCCATCGCGGCGCTGAACAACTTCGAGATCCAGGCCGGCTCCCGCCTCCTGGTCTGCCGGAGCACCGACAAGTGCGAGCTGTGCATCGACGGCCTGGCCGCCACGGTGAGCGAGCGCCAGCTCTGGCCCATGCTGCAGGAGCTGACCGCCGGCGTCCTGAGCGTCGCCCTGCACCCGAGCCCATTTCGCCGGCAGAGGCAGCTCGCGGAAGTGAAGTACAGCTCCCACCAGGCTGCCGCCGTGGCCAAGAAGGCGCTCGTGGAAGGTCCGTCCCGTCTCGGCTCGGGTGGCGGGAGCGGCTGGCGAGTGAGACGCAGGGCGGCCGCCGACCGTGCCAGGGGCTCTGCCGGGCAGTGGCGCCCCGGACACGTGCCGCAGTGTGCCAGCCCGGGGGAGATCCAGCAGCATTGTTTATCATGATGGGAGCCTGTCTGTGTCCTTGTTACTAAGCTAATAAGTAGCAGTGAATAGGACCGAGGTGTGAATGCAACACAAGTTGTTGCTGATGTCTGTTTTCAGGGGATTGGGCTGGATAAGTGTAAAAGAACATGCGTACACGTACACGCGTGTGCCACTGGAACAAAACTAGCAAGCAGCAACAATGACGCTGAAGATGCCCCAGGAAGAGAGCTTCAGCCAGAGGCACGGGCACTCACGCTGCATGCCCAGCTCTTTGGTTGCTAGAAGTAATTGGTGTAGCAACAGTTTTCAGCACTTCCCCCCCCCCCCCAATATTTTTACATAATATAACATTTGAATCACATTATGTGTACTTCAATATTTTTTCACGGGTATTTCGTACCAAATACTTCTAGTGTATTGGGACAGAAAATTAGCATGGGATGTTCCTTTTTGTTTTATTTATTAATTAAACTAAAATTAAATTAGATCTTTCCTTAAGGTTGGAATAAGCAACTTATGAGCCTTCAGTGATTGCTTGACCCCAACACCCCCCGCCCTATTCCTCAGGATGGGCAATGGTAGCTTGAGCTAATTAGAGTTGTACAATCTATTTTTTCTTATGACAAGGAGCTTGTAAAAACAAATTTAGTTTGCATTGGAATAGTTTCCAGTTCAGCATTTTGCAGAAAGCCCACGTACGTTGTAATTCAAGAAAAGCTTGAAGCGCTCACTGATGTCCATGGAAAGTCAAAGGATGCCCTCTGCTTCACAGTGGTTTTACACTGCCAGTCGGCTTGCTTTGGTGCAGGTAGCTGCAACCTGCAATTGAGATTGTGACAGATAAGCCAATACTTGAGGTCGATTGGCTGACAAGTTGTTTCTTCTCTTGCAGGCAGCTTGCGTGTTTGTGGGGACCAAATTGCAGTGGATTGGCTGAAGCCCAATCTAAAACAGGAACTCCACAGCACCTCGGTGCAGACCATCCCGGAGGTTCTGCCATCCGCTTGCGGTGACAGAGTGATCCCCAGCCGGCTGTCTCCTGAGCTTGCGGACTGCCACAGGCTGCCACCGGCGAGCAGGGCAGTGGAGTACCTGAACTCTTGGTGCAAGGAGCGGCAGCTGGGCCTTCCTGTATTCCTCACCAAGTGCCTTCAGGGAGGCCCTGAAGGCAGCTTGCAGTTCTGGTATCAGGTGGTGATCCCTAAATACCCATTTCCCTTCAGCGGGTTCATCTGGGTCAAGTCTGAGTCCTCCGGCTCAGGTGCACATGAGAAGGCCAAGAATGCGGTGGCGCTGCAGCTGCTCGGAGCTCTGGGTAAGCAACTGGGAGAGCATCACGAGAGTCTCCAGAATAAATGGCAGTCTAGGAAAGTCAGTAAATACAAGCAAACTCCACATGCTGGGCATGTTGTGAGCTGAGCCGGCTGGAGCCGGGGGTCAGACTAGATGGCCCGGGAGGCCCCTTCTGACTCGCGCTGTTTCTGTGTTTCAATATGAAAGGAATTATTCTGTGCAGTGCCATCCCAGCCTAGCGTTTTGGTTTGAAAAAGGGGCACAGGATGATCCCAATCAGAGAGCAAGGTATTGGTAGATTCTCTGGTAGATGGTAAAGAGGAAGCTGGGAAATACCTCAAGAGGAAGTCCTTTAGAAGGCAGCTTGCTTGTTCATGTGTACATGCCTTTATAGGCGGCCTTTAACTGCCGAGGCCTTCCTAGGCGGCTGACGTGAATTGTTTTCAGTCTTCAGAATTAAACATTTTCTAAAGGGACAGCAGCAGTATGTAGACTTGTAGATTGTGGAATGAGTCAGTCATGGGCTGGTTTGCTTGTGCGAAACAAGGTGTGTTGTCACGCACGGCATGTGCCAGGCATGGCTGGCACAACTCGTGGGAGCAGTTGGGGCCCATGAGCTCCGCCACGGTCCCGCTGCCCGGCTTCAGGCCGCGCCTTAAACTGCACCGTATGTGCTGCAGCTCACCATCTACCGTGGCCTGTTCTGCTCGTGCAACCTGGGTGTGCTTGTTTCACAGGCTGAATTCAAGCAGCACATTCTAGGCTTAGTAGTGCAATCCATAGGGCAGCGTTAGCCTGTCTGGCAGCCTGAGAAACCCACCAGCGTAGTACTAACACTCCTGCCTCTAGCTCTTGTTCACACAAGCACTGTTGCATAACTAAGTTGCGGTGTCTGGTGGTGTGGGTTGGGCAGCTTTTGGAGTATTTCAGCAGCAACTGTGGCTTGTTACGTCTGAATCCACCGGGGTTGGATTGTGCAAGGCTTTGGTAATCTTGCACAACCCTAAAACGGCTTAGGCAACACTTGGTGTCAGTCCTGGCTTGAATATTCGAAATGGCTGCCAAGTCGTGGCACTGATTATGCAAACAAATCCAAAGTAACCTAGTTGATGGCGACACTCTCTCTTTCGCTGCAAATGCCTGTTCACAGCTGCCTTTTGAGCGCACGTCTCCGTCCTGCAGCTCGGGGTCTCCCCTGCACTGTCCCCTTTGCCCTGGCCCACTTTATTCTCCATAGATACTGGAGAAGTGCAGGTGGCCGTGTGTTTCCAAGGGATGGACGCTGCAGAAAGTAACGGATATGACTGCACTTGAAGGGGCCTGCTGGAGAGTTGTGCTGGGGGTGGGAATAAAACCACCAGTGTATGTTGTACATGCCTCCAACCTTTATACCGATTTAGTGATTCAGCAGCACAAGACTGAGGTACAAGAAACAGTCTGTTAAGTATTATTTAAATATAAAATTAAGATTTGTCTCTGATGTGGTAGCTTTTCAAACCTCCCTCTCTTACTGAAACCTTGAAAGCCCATCGATGGTCGTAATTAGGGAAATGACTAGCTGGAGGCTGCTACTGAGGGCGGTGGCACTGTTCCTTGTGACACAAGGACTGCTTTGCTAAGCAGCTGCCAGTTGTGGGTGCTAAATAGGCTGCCCTGATCTGAGAGTAGCAGGTCCTGCCTTGCAGGTCGGACCGCCCTTGCGCCCAAGCTCAGTACAGACACCTTCCCTTTCTCTCCTCCATTTTTCAAAGTTGCGGGACAGCAGCTACTGGCATGGTGGCCCCTCGTTTTGCGTGCAAGGATGCTTGTGGCTGTGTCGGAACTGAATTGTTAACTCTCAAATGGAAGTAACCGAGCGGCTTCTCGGTTTTCTGGCTTCTGTGCATGCCGACCGGTTTCATGTGCAACACTCCACTTACTCCTCAGAATAAATGACCTCCCTCCCTCCCAGAAAAGTGTTTCCGAAAGCCACCTCGGATGTGGAGGCGGCATGCTTGGGGACAGTGGGAAACCGTGACCCCTGAACATTTGCTTCTCCAACAGGCTTCCCGGCGGCGTGAGAGGCAAGCTACAGCAGGCGGCCGAGAGGCCTGCGCATCCCGCCCTGGCTGTCCCAGCTGGCCTCGCCTCACAGGGCTGTGGCGAGGGACGGGCTCTCATGCAGAAGCACTGCTTTTGGGATTGCTGTTCTGGTTGTTTTTTGCGATTGAAGATATATTTTGGTATTTCCGGTTATAGTTTAAGGATGAGGAATAACATTTCAGTTCTGCAGTTGGCCTCTGGGGCTTGGGAGGAGGCAGGGGTCTGCTGATTTGCCCGGCAAGCAGCAGGGTGGCCAAGGGCTCAGCAATGGATTCCCTTCCTAAAGCATCTTTCAGTTTCAAGCTTATGGTTTATTTTGTTTCCTTTCTTAAAACATTGTTTTTCTTTGTATTTATTAATAGTGTTTGTTTCCATTTATTTGTGACAGTTTGAACTGGCCTTGTAGCCATCTCAGGCAAACTCCCCAGAGAGCAGTGGGGCAGGTTCTCAGTGGGGCAGTCCTCTGGCTGGCAGGAGGAAGGGCCCCTGCCCTGCCAGTGGCAGGACCTTTACCGGGTGAACTGCTCGTGTGTTCTCTGTGTCGCTTCAGGACAGCACCGTGCGGGCGCCAGCCCAGTGTTTTTTTAACACAGGAAGCCTCGTCCCAATGAATGATTGCAGGAAAGGACGCTCTGGGGTCTCCAAAACATTCCTCATTTTAAAGGGCACCGTAATGGTGAATGAATATGCCAAGCTGGAAACATGGGTACTTTAATATTAAAATTGTTTTGAAATAAATGAATGTGCAGTCTCCATTTCTAAAATATGCAAAACCTGATTTGCAATGAATTTGATTTGCACTGTGAGTCCATGGCACTTCCAGATCCTTGGGCTAGTCTGGGAATTTGAGAAACTGCAATGGGCGTCACCACAAAATGGATCCGCGCTTGGCACTGGCCTGTCCGATGCCGCCATGTCCTCCACCTTACGGGATGGTCGAATTCAGCCACTGCTGGTGGTGCTGTGCAGCTGAAGCATTTAAAGCCTGTGATAAGGCACTGCATCTTTATACATGAATGTTCTTTTAAAGGAACAGGAAATGAACAAATGGAAAAGAAAATGGGTTCTGTGTATGCTTTTAGTGCCTTAAAAACTGCTATTAAGAAACCAGAAGGATAAACCTCACCACCTATGAGGTAGCTGAGTGGGGACCTTGCACCATTTTCAATACATGAACAGTAGCAAAGAGGGAGCAGCTTCAAATGCATTGGTACACGTTACAGGCTCATGTATACTTCCTAAAAAGTCCCATTTCATACAAATCCACATATCAAAATCAGTGCTAAGAAAACGGCGGACTTTTTGTATCTAGACAGACCAGTGGAAGCTCCCTCAGAGCAGCAGGATACTGACGGGAAGCCCCTCCATGGTGATGGGGCTTTACACATCGAAGGCAAGGCGATGCGCAAACCCACCCGCCGCCAGCCCTTTGGGCACATTCCCACAAGGGCTCGCCCTGAAGCGCCAGGAGCCTGAAGACACGCAGGGGTGGCCGGGCTGCAGCTCTCCCCTTCCTGCCGCCTTCCCCCGGGGAGACCCCCGTGTGGGAAGGAGCTGCTGTGTGGTGGGACTTGTCACTTGCGGTGGGAGGAGCCGAGCAGGGAGCCCCCCTCCATGAGGGAACCTGCTCCTCTCCCGGGTCAGTCTGCTGCTCCTGGGGGCGGGGGCAGTCCCTTTGTGGCATGCCTGCCCGCCAAAGCCCCTTTCCTGTGCACGGGCGCGGGGCGCCTGAGCAAGGCAGGAGGGGCCTCTTGGCAGCCCATGCCAGCAAGCGTGCCTGTGTGGGAGCAAACCCGGCGAATGCAACCGGCGTGCCGGCCTCAGTCGCTGTCGCTGCTGGCGGCAGCACCGTCCCCCTCTCCCTCTCCTGGGCCAGCCGCCTCCTCTCTCAAGTCTGCAAAGAAATCTTCTCCGCTCCCAAAGGCTTTGCGGCTCAGAGATTTCAGCTGCCCGCTTTTCTTCTTCTTCTTCCGGTAATCGTCCACGATCACTGAGTGCAGTCCGGAGATGTCCCAGAACTTCACTCTCCGGTCGTGGCCGCAGCTCGCCAGGAAGCGGCCCAGGGCGCACCGGGCGAGCTGCTCGATGGGCTCCCCCGCGTGCTGCCCAACACGGCCAATCACCCGATTGGGCAAGATGTTCACTGCCCTGAAACGGCACGAGGTGCCCAGTCACAGCCCACCCTGTGCAAGGCCGCTTGCTAATGCGCGCCTGCGGAGGAGGGCTGGGTGTGCTGGGGCAGGGGAAGAAACCCAGCGCAGACTCCAGATCCATTTCAAAGATTCTGACTACTTACATGGAGATTATCTCCATTACTCTCCATTATAGTATTATAATGAGAGTAACATTAACTACAGAAACACGGTGTAAACAAAACAGGATGGGAACGAAGCAAAAAAGGGGGGGGGGAACCATGTGAATTGAGAACCATCCAAAAAAATAAAATGGTTCCTCTGGACTCATTCCCAGGCCAGGAAGATGGTTCAAGAGTCATATGAGGAGCCACACCACCTTCAGAGACATCTGCCCCGTCGTTCTACGCACAAACATGGCATTAGTCAGGAAACTAGCCAGGCCCCCGTCCTGCAAGCTCGGCAGGGCCAGCCGGGCACTTGGGTGGCCCTTCCACCAGGGATGGTCTCCCCGATGCCACCTAATTCTGGGATATGGCATTCGCACCCGAGGCTCCATTTTGCCTGTGATCACCCCGACCACCCTCACTCCCAACCCCACTCTTCCGTGGGGGTCCCCCAATCGGGGCACGTGAAGCCAGGCCCTCTCACCGGATGACTCCGTCTGTGGAGCCCGTGCATACGATGCTCTCTGTGACGGCAACCATGCAATCGACGGACTCCGCCTGCAGCGCAAAGCGGTCACTGGTAGCGCCAAAACCGTCCCAGTTGAAGAGGTAGATGGTCCCCTCGCTGGAGCCACAGGCAACTTTCTTTCCTCTCTGAGCAAGGGAAGCAACGGTGGTGGCAGCTCAGCCAGACAGAAGCAGCAGCGCGATGCCTGTTTGCTTTCCTTGGACCAAGGGGAGCTCCGAGGTGCACAAGAGACAGGCCAAGCTCTCTGGCAAAGGCCTCCCTGCCGCCCCCCGTGGCTACACTTTATAGAGTCTAACAGGACTGACACTGAGCAGGATATCGCAACAGGATCTTGGCTGGAAAATACTCCCAAGCCCCGGCTGCAACCTGTGCCCAATTCATCCTGGCCACTGGTCCCCATCAGAAGGCCCAGAAGGGACGGTCCCTTCCCAGCCGCACCAAGCAACACCCTGACCTTCATCAGGCTGATGGCCGTCAGGTCTCCCTTCTGAGGCTCTGAGAGCAGCTCGAAGCGCCTTCTCCTGATGTTGAAGACTCCCATCGTTCCATCCCCACTGAAAGACATGGAATGGTACCCAAAGGTCATGCACCGCTCTGTGCAGAAACGACACCACCTTTCCACTTGGAGATGTGCAAAGGCAGCACAGCCCTTCCCACTTCCAAACCACTTTTAGGTAACCTGGTGTTTTGACCCGAGGGGATATAACAAGAACTGGTATCAGCAGAGGAAAACGTGCCACACGGCCTTTTCAGGGGAGAGGGGAATTGCGTCTAAAAGCTGTTGCCCTTGGAGCAGGAACACAAAACGTCACCCGCACACCAAGGGGAAAAGCTCGGCTCAGCTGACCCACCTCCTCAGTGGGAGAGCTCGGTGCGCGATTACCTGGTGGTGAGCAGCAGCCTCCTGTTGCCCTCCAGGACCATGTCGCTGATGTACTCCTCATGCTGCTTCGTCTCCATGACGGAGGTGCCCTTGCGCAGGTCCCACACCTTCAGCTCCCCACTGTCGTCTCCAGTGGCAAGCAAGTGTTCGTCCACCACCAGCAGGCTGTTCAGAGCAGAGCTGTGGAAATCGCACAGGTCACGCGGCAGAGTCAACACCGCAGTGCGCACTCGTTCCCTCTCGGAGCTCTTAGCCAGGCACGGCGGATAAGGAGGCGCCTGGTGCTCCTCCGAAGTGCAGGATGAGGGGCTTAAGAGTGAAGCACTAATTACCCAGATCCTGGGGTGGGAGGAGACCGCCTTCCCTCTACCCTGTTCCAGATGCTATGGAGGTGAGGGCAGCAGCAGGAGATCAGCCTTCCCTGCCGGAGCGATGCCAAGACTGCATCCTCCACCTGTGGGCTCTGGCCAGGCATCCAAAGGCCCTCGCGGCACAACTGTCCCTCCCGCTCTGCCACCCGCTCACCACCCCAGCTGTGGAAAGTGGCTGTAATGCTCTCTGGGTGACTATCCACATTTTAAACATACTGTGCTACAGACGTTGGGCATGTTCTCTAGAGGAGGACCTGGATCAGCATTCCAGATTGAAAAAAGGGGGACTGGGAGGGTAAAGAACTTGTTTGTATTGGTGGTAATTCTGTGTAGGACATTTAGAAAGGCAATGACTGCATTACAGCTGACAGAAGAGGATCTGTCAAGCAAGCACGCAGTACATTTTACAGCCCAATTCTGCGTGTGTTGACTCAAAAGTACATGCAAGTCCCAGTTGGTTCAGCAAAGCATATTCCCATGTAAGTTTTAGAGGTGGAATGGCTGAGAAGTAGCCTGAAATGCTTACTTGTGAGCCTTGGAGAAGCGTGTCAGAAGACGGCCTTCCTCCACACTCAAGATATGGATGGCTTTATCCTTGGAGACTGTGAAGAGCTCTGGAGAGGGAGGAAAGCACACGCCGACGCTCACGACTGAACTCTGCAGGGATTAGCTGCCTGCAACATGCAGAATCGTCTACAGAAAACCAAGGTGTGCCTTCCCACTTTGAATTTGCGGTTATGAAGCAGTTTGCTCTCAAAGGCATAACATTTGGAATGCAGAGTGATGGTTGAGGGAGTCGGTTATCTGTGATCATGCAAACTGGGTCACTGCCTAATCAACTGCAAAGACAAAAACCACCACACAGCAGAAAAGCACTCACTGTGTCCATCGTGGGAAAAGGACACTTCTCTGCAGGATTTTAAATGATGTCCTGAGGACCAGAGCTCCTTGTTCCCACCTTCCAGACAGGAGTAGGAATACCTGAAATTTTTAAAAAAGAGTGGAACATTGAGGAACCTATCACAAATCAACAGGAAGAGTCATGCTTAAAGCAGAACTGCAGAACGTAGGACTAGTAAAGCAAAGAGTGGGGAGGGCATTTCAGTCTGTGACACGGCACACTGAGATTGCCAATAAACTGTTCTGAAAAGGAAACCTGGCATCTTGAAAAGTTCTCAGTTCTACAGTGGTGAGAGGTGCAGCCTCCATGCCCTGCTTAAAGGATCCCAGAGGCCCTGGGAAAAGGACTGCGGACCACTGTTCTTACCTGTCAGAGCTGATCTGAACAAGAACCACCAACAGTTTGCCAATGAAATACTATTAATATGGCAAATGCTTTTTCTTTCTTCTTTCTTTGCTACTTTATATTCAGCAACTGGAACAATGTGAAAGAGAATGTCTCCCAGCACCTACCTCACCAAGATCCCTGTTTAAATTTCTGATCTTTCCACTTATTTTTTATTATTTTCCACCTATTTTATTTGATTACTTTCTTTTACGTAGCACAAAGGAATAAGGGGAAGGGGCTGAAGCAAAGTTGGAACACATTCAAATATATACATACATTCCTGCAATGAGACAGTGTAGGAAGCCCAAATATCCAAGTATGTCTGTGGAGTCTACAGAGTGCCATGAGTGGCACATTCGAATGGAGATGGGCCATTGGTCCTGATCCTTCAGCCTTAAGAGAGTCGGCCAAGAAAGGATCGGCCCAGGGGTGTACAACGGCTTCCATCGTGCTGAGCTGCCGGCACGGGAACTGCCAGAGGCTTCTGCCCACATTGCCCCGTTATGGAAGGAGCACTCACGCATAAACGTCTCCGTCCACATCTCCTAGAGCCAGGATGTCCCGACTGGGGTGAAAGGCCACGGTGTTCGCTGCCGCCTCCAAGGAGATGTCTGCAGGGGTGTCATGAAGCTGCAGCTCCCCTCCGGCTTCCTCCTCGTCAGAGCTTACCTGGGTGAGATGAGGGGAGGGGGAGAACAAGAGGATCAGCCCTACAGTCCCTGAACGCCAAGAAGGTTATCCCGTACTGTAATCCGTGTCCGTCAAAATAATAATAGGAAGTCCTGTTGCTACTCATTAAGATGAGCACATTTATTTTGGCATAGACTTTCGTGGTCTATAATCCGCTTCGCCAGACCAACCGAGAGAGGGAGCGTTCCAGCTACGTATGCAGCACATACCGCAGGAGGCAGAGGAGGAACCGTAAGCACAAATTAAACGCAGCGCAGTGCCGAGAGCGGGCATCCAAGGCAACCGCAGGCGCCACCGGCATCCAGGCACCGGCCCGGCCCGGCCCGGCCGGGGGATGCGGAAAAGGCCTCGGGCAGGGCCGGGGAGGGCGCGTCCGCGGCTCGGCGGCCGCTCCGGGGCCGCCGGGTGCCTCGGCCCCACGCGGCACGCAAAGCCGCCCTGCCCGAGGCCACGCACGTGCCCGAGCGACGTCCCGCGCGGGAAGGGCCTGCGCGACCCGGAGCGGCGGCCCGCGCAGAGC